GTGTAAGGATTCTCCAGCACTTCCAAAACTATGCGGTTTCTGTTGCATGTTTTCATCTGCACCACCTCGCCTCCCCTAAAGGAACCTCGCCCAGGTGGAGTTTGCTGGGCAGCTACCCATCCTCTCTTCTGACTGTCCGTAGGCTACCCCTGCCCAGGTGAACGAGGGTCAGCCCGACCGATGCCCCGGCGGTGTATCAGCTGTCTCCTGGCGCACAAGCTCTGGTCTCCTTTAGCCTGTGCGGAATGTGCCCAGACCACCTCCTCCAATACTTCAGTCGAACAAGACTCCTTTTATTTAAAAAAAATTATACATCCATCTTATCATTTTGTTGCTGTGTCCCCATCACTATCAGTTGGGTAAATTTGACTCGGCACCTTCAGGAAGCTAAACAAGCTTGGGAGGGCAGGCAGATGGCCACTTTGGGGGGGGGGAAGGCATCTGGTGGAGACCACCTGGTTATCCTTCATAAAAGGCATAGCTCTAATAATTTTTTTTAAATATCTTTATTTCAGAGAGAGGAAGGACGAGGGAGGGAAAAAGATAGAAACATCAATGATAAGAGTCATTGATCGGCTGCCTCCTGCACGCCCCCGACTGGGGATCGAGCCCGCAACCTGGGCATGTGTCCTGACCGGGAATCAAACCTCAATCTCCTGGATCCTAGGTCAATGCTCAACCGCCTAGCCACGCTGGCCATGCAAATTTGTTTGTATTATTAAGTAAGATAAAGATTTGTCTATTATAGCATCATAGGCATCTAGGTTAATTAACTATGTTTCTTGACATTGACCCTCTCCACTGTGGTTTATAAACACTGCACCCACCCCTACATGTTTGATCTAAACTTGTATGAGGGGGATCTGGGTACGTATCAGCTCATAATGGGGGACTGTTATTATCACCATTTCACAGATGGGGAAACAGTCACAGAAATGTTACATAGGTAGGAAGTGATTCTAGGGCTATGGATCCAGACGGATTGATTCTAGATAGCCTGTTTGTCACCACTGATTTGACCCTGATTTACCATCTAAGATATTTAGAAGAAAGTCAGTCTGGAAGGCTATCTTGAACTATCTATATAACAAGATCTTTCCTCTACCAAAAAAAACAAACCCGTATTTCACTAAGCTTTCTATCCTTTGGTAGAGGGTCAAGTTTACTCTTCCCCTGTTCCTATGAATAGGATATATATTTGCCTGAAGTTCTGTCTCCCTCGGCTGTTTGAGCAACTTCTCTGCTATGGGATCACGGGCTCACAACATTGTCCCAAAATGCCACTGCTGTGGAGTCTCCTATTCCTTTGTCTTTGACACTCCTGAACCTTGAGGTTGGCTTCCTTCAATACAGTGAGTTCAATGTACTTTGCCTTGCTTTTATATAACTTTCTGGGTCTCAGTGGGATTAAAGAGATTCATTCCGTCTTCTCGGGCTTCCCTCTTTGGTTAATACTTGCATTCTCCACCCTTAACTAGCTTCCTAGTTCCAACTTGCCCTATAGCGGCCTATACCTAGGCTTGGCAAGACCGGTGACTGAAAGATAGTGGCCTCTTACTTTCCCTTCCATTTTGTTATTCTCTGAATTTATTGATAGAAAGATACTGCCACTCATAAATATACACTTATATATATTTTTCTAATGACCTATACATAGGAGGTAGAGAAATGATAAAAATGTGAAATATAGCTGATCATTTTTTAAAATGTTGCTTCAACGTGGTACAAAAGAATATTAGAGCAATGAGAGAAAATTATTGGTAATAGGTGAGGGGGAAAATCACTTAAGATGATTTATTAAGTAAATTATCTGAAGTGTGTGTCTCGGCACATTAATTATGTTTAGACTTAAACTTTTGGGACTATAAAAGTATAAAATTAATAGAGACATTGGTAAATGGTAACTAGTTATTTCATTTAATGTATTATATTAATATAAGGTATAATGGAGTAAATATTTCAAAGAGAAATTAGCTTGTCCTTTCATGTTATAATTGTAAGATAAATTAATGTTTGAAAGTTGAACCAATTCTGATTATTATGCATAAGGATTGATTCTTACATCAAAAATTATTACATTTTGTGAATTTTTTAAATCTGCCTGAAACATTAGTGTTTTAGAATATGATTACTTAAAGCAAAAACATGATGATCTCATCTTGCTCTCAGCTTTTAAGATGAATAGAATGTTCTACATTAATCCAAAAAAATGTGAAGTGGAAGATGATTTGTATGACTGACAGTTATCTTAAAATAGAACTTTTAAGTGATTCCTACGCTTCTTTAGGCTTGACTCTGCATTTGTGTTTCTGATAAATGGGGAAAAGGCATGTAAATATGAGGTGTGGGGGGGCAGGTAGTAAGAGGGAGCAAATACTCACAAAAACTGGTATTTCTTAGAAAAGATTTTGAAGGCTCTAGAATCTTAGGAAGCCTTGTCCAGAGTGCCTCTAAGTTTTGCATATACTTCCTTGTGCGAAGTTTCAGACGGTTCCACACATGGCTACAGGCTTTTCGTGGACAATTGCTGGGGATAGGTGACATTATGGAGCACATAAAGATTGACCCCCATTGTTCCCAGCCTCTGATTTCTGTGCTGTCACTTCTCTGCCGTAGAAGCCTTCTTCCTGAACACAGCAATGAGAAAGTAAGCCAGTCACACTGTCTAATTCCAGATAGGACAGAGTTGGGTCATTTAGTACTTGGCTCTCTTGCCAGGTCAGGAGCAACAGAGGGTCTGGGACAGGTGATGAAGCTAACATGTGTGGCTGGTGTCTTAGACTGGGTAGCTTGTCCAGAGACTGGGTAGCTTGTAAATATCAGAAATTTGTTACAGCCCTGGAGGCTGGAAATCCAAGATCAAGGTTTCAGGTTCTGGTGAAGGCCCTCTTCCAGGCTGCAGACTGCTGACTTCTAGCTGGGTCATCAAATGGTACAAGGAAGGAAGAATCTCTCTGGAGCCTCTTTTATGAGCGTGAAGATCCCATTCATGAGATTTCTCCCATCATTAGCTTAATCACCTCCCATAGGCCCCATCACCCAAATACTATCATCTTTGAGGGTCGGGATTTCAACATATGAATTGGGGGTTTGGGAGGACACATTCAGATCTTAGCAGCTGGGTATAAGGAAACCATGAGGAATAGTGCTGTACCTCAAGGATAGTCATAGTGGAAGTGTTACTAGCCCTAGACCCAAAGGGAGCGGGACAAGAGAGCCAGGAGCCTAACTCAGTATCCTCCCTCCCTCTGATCTCCTTCCTGGACACCCAACTAGCTAAACCAAGCTGGGAAATGGGCAAGGAAACCCAATCAGGTCAACCTCCAGGCTTAGGAAGCAGCATAGGGATGACTGGAGAAGGGATCTGGAGGGGCAGAGAGAGGATCTCCAGCACTCGTGTCTGAGCAGGACTGTAATACTAGGAAGAACCTGGTGAGCAAGTCAAGACTTCTGCCTCTGGGGGAAGGGACTAGAAGGCAGAAACTTAGGCAAAGAGAGCCCTGTTAGGGACTCAGTCAAGCGAAGAAAGCAAAAAATCTAGGTCCTAGAATTGGCAGAATCTGTTGCAAAGCTGACTTGACGATTAGTTTCTAAGTTCTGGCTCTACAGTCCTTCTTTAGCCTGCTTATGGGTGAGCAACTGGGAGTGGTTGCCTGGGTCCACTAGGGACCTCACTTCCCTCATTTGTAAAGTATGAATAATAATTATACCTATGAGAATTAAAAAAGTTAGTACAGGTTAAATGCTTAGAACAGTACCTTATACATAGTAAGCACTCAGTAAAAATTAGCTATATTTGTATTCTTATTAAGAAGTCAGGATTGGAAAGATCTGAGGATGGCACATAGGGCAGTATAGGGAGTTAAATTAATTTCTTTTCTAGATAATGGTTACATACATGACAATGCATGATATCACTGCTTATTAGTTAAATTAGCTACAGGAAAATTACATCCACAAACTCTGGCCAGATAAGAATGTGGTTTTTTTTCTTTCCTTTCCCATCATGGAAAGTCAAAAATGATTCAGGTCTACAGTCCCTCAAACACACTTAGCATTTCTTAGGCTCATGCGTAGTCTTCCATCCAATCTAAGTAATGCAGTCATGGTTTGGCAGCATTGTTGAACCATCCTAAAGTATATTGATCATCTTTTTAATCAGGATATTGCTGGAACAACTTGGAAATTGAAAATATGTTTGACGTCATTTGGAAATGCAGGGAGTAAAAAGAGTGAGTTGAATTGCTCCCTAATGGACATTAGTAAAACCTAGTAACCTCTGTCTAGAAGTCAAAAACACTTGAAAAGAAAGCCATCCAAGCGCTTGTCTTAGAGCGCTGTGGGTGCTGCAGGGGAAGGCACCCAATGTTTAGAACCGTTCCGATCTTGATTTCTCTTCCTCTAATATATATATATAATTTAAAATAATACTATGGATACATTCCTTCATGTTCCACCTTGCTAGTGCTGGACTGAAACTAGTGGTCCATTTCACAAAGAACATTAAAACAGCCACTGAATATTTAGAATGACATCGGCACTGTTTTCCTAGCACTTTGGAACTCGTTTACAGGGGAGTCCCCAGTTAATTTTCTGACCTGAGTATTGCAGGGGACCTTTCATGTCAATATGTTCCAAAACTGGCATGTATAGGAAGCAATCCGAAATGCTTGAAAATTATGAAAGGGTACTTAAGATTTCTTGTACTGTTATACTTGCCTTTCATAATTTTTATTTAATTCATTATAGAGAGTTTATATTTAAATCCAAAGGCAGATGAGACACCTGAATTATATTTTGATATTCTTTTGGTTTCCTTAAGTTTGGTGACTTTTGTTTCTTAGAATCTCAGAGGTGGCTTTTGTATTTTTGAATTACTGCATTAATTACTTCATTGATTTATTAAAAGTAAACCTACATGCATTAAGAATTTATAACTTTATTAACTTGCTTTGCTCTTGTTAGTTGCTAACTTCCCCTTTCTCTGTCTCAATTCTCAGATATTGTTTTTTACAATTTGGATATTGCTTAGAGCATTATTTTCAAGCTATGGGTTATAACCCATTAGTGAGCTGCGAAATCAATTTAATGTGCTCTGACCAGCACTTCTGAAAATGAAATAAAATACGGTAGATATAATAGGAACTGAGAAAGTGCATCATATGCAGTAAGGGTGAGTATGTTTCATGAAATTTTGTTGTATATTTTTTTGTATGTGTGTACATGTGTGTTTTGGGTCAAAATGTAAAATGTGTTTTTTACTATGAGCTGCAGTTAAAAAAAAGATTCAAAGCCATTGGCTTATGTTCTTCTTCCAACCACATATATTGGATGTTCTCATAGATGTGGCTATGTTTAAACTCGCCGCTATAACTAGCTTGGGAGTTAATGAAATGTTTACTATTGGCAAAAAGTAAAGAGGAGCAGATTACTACATAGTGAATTTTTTACTATCAGTAACTAGTATATTTAATAAATACCATATTATTAACATCCCTTCTGAATTTGCTAATTGGCAAGTAACATAAACACTGAGTCATCTGTTTATGGATGTTATAACAAAATACTGCCTGAGATCTACCCAAAAGTAGTCATTCTAAAAGAGGCCTGATATGTCCATTCAGATTGGTCTTGAATAAATTGTTTGTGAAGAAACTTGAGGATTTGCTTTTTAATAAATCACATCAGCAGGAGACAATTTTAGCACTCTGTTTTTGTAAACTAATTTCCCCCCAATTTTTTTACTGTGGTAAAAACAAATGACATAAAATGTAGTGTCTTAACCATTTTTAAGTGTACCTTTATACGTTCACTTGTTATGCAATCATCGCCACCATCCATCTCCAGAATTCTTTTCTTGGTGCAAAACTGAAGCTCTATAGCCATTAACCAGTAACTCCCGATTCCCTTTTCCCCCCGCCCTGGGGTTGTCCTCAACGCCAGTGAACCGGGACTCTGGAGTGTGTCACCATCACTAAATAATACTTAACAGGTCCCTGAAAACTAATAATGTTTTTCAGTTTTAAATAGTTGAAAAAATTAATATAAGAATAACATATCATGATAGGTAAAAATTATGTAAAATTCAAGTTTCAGTGTCTATAAATAAAGTTTTATTGTACACATCCACACTTATATGTTCACATATTACCTATGACTGTTTTCATGCCATGAGGGCAGATTTGAGTGGTTGTGACAGACCATAGGGAGCAGTATCATCACTTTGCACTGCTGCTCAGTGTCCACAAATCACAAGTGACACAGTTATAATAACTTGACCATGTTTTAGTGTCATGCATATTGTCGTAATACAGCACATTATTTTATTTCTTATTACCAGTGCATGGCAATGATGGCAAAACAAGGAAAAAAGGTCAAACTGGACTTAGTGCTTTACAGCTGAGTGAAGAATGGATTATTTTGTTTTAAAATGAGGTGGCAAAGCATTGTGTTTTTTATACAGTGACACTATAGCTTTGCTAAAAGAACATGACATGTCAACATTATCAAAATAAGCACTCATTGCAATATTTCCAACGTACAGGACAGCAACGGTCAGAATAATTGAAATTTTAAAATGAACTATCACAGCAGAATTTCTTTGCAAAAATAAAATGAGGAAAAAATCAAAATAAAACAAAAATATGAAAATGAGTCTGCACCCAAAATAAGTTTCTGAATGGTTCATTTGTTAGCTGAGCAAGGAATGCCATCCCAATAACAACTAGTGTGTGACTTATAAGTAATGTTAAGCTGCTTTATACACTTCTCCTGCGGTCAGAAGTTGAAACAAGAAGTGAGATGTTCACCCTGACTCAGATTTGCACTGGATTTCTTTTTAAAAGATGTTTCTTTCGGTTTTAAAGAGAAAGGAGGGGAGAGGGGGAGAGAGAAACGTTGATCAGTTGCCTCCCTTACACACCCCAACTAAGGAACCGAACCAACAACCTGGGCATGGGAATCCAACCTGGACAGCCCTCAACCAACTGAGCCACACCAGCTAGGGCTGCACTGGATTTACTTTTCAAGTTCAAATTATAGTTCCAGCATTGTCTTTCAGACTTCGATGCAAATGCAAAGGAAATTTCCATATTTCAGAATATAGGCATACCTTGTTTTATTGCGCTTCATTTAACTGTGCTTCACAGATATTGTGTTTTTATAAACTAAATGTTTGTGGCAACCCTGCATCAAGCAAGTCTATCAGCATTTTTCCAACAGCATTTGCTCATTTCCTGTCTTTGTGTCACTTTTTGGCAATGAAGGTAGCTGCATGAAACATCAGATTTTCAATGTATGTGAAACAGTCTTATAACTGGAAGATGCCATCTAGTACTTTCATAGCTATAGAAGAGAAGCCGATGCCTGGCTTCAAAGCTTCAAAGGACAGGCTGCCTCTTATTAAGGGCTAATGCAGCTGGTGACTTTAAGTGAAAGCCAATGCTCGTTTACCATTCTGAAAATCCTGGGGCCCTTTAGAATTATACTAACTCTACTCTGCCTGTTCTCTATAAATGGAACAACAAGGCCTGAATGACAGCACATCTGTTTACAACATGGTTTACTGAATATTTTAAGCTCATTGTTTTGACCTGCTGCTCAGAAAAAAAATAAATTCCTTTCCAAATATTACTGCTCATTGATAATGCACCCGGTCACCTAAGAGCTCTGATGGAGCTGTAAATGAGATTAATGTTGTTTTCATGCTCCTTAACACAACATCCATTCTGCAGCCCATGGATCAAGGAGTAATTTTGACTTTCAAGTCTTTTTTTTTTTAATTACAGTTTACATTCAATATTATTTTGTATTAGTTTCAGGTATACAGCATAGTGGTAAGACAATCATATACTCTACAAAGTGTTCGCCCTGATATTTCCAGTACCACCTGGAACCATACATAGTTATTACAATATTATTGAGCATGTTTCTTATGCTATACTTTACATCCCCATGACTATTGTTTAACTATCAACGTGTACTTCTCAATCCCTTCACCTTTTTTCACCCAGTCTCCCATCAGGTCTTATTGTTTAAAAAATGCATTTCATAAGGCTCCAACTGCCATAGATAGTGATTCCTGTGATGGATCTGGGCAAAGTAAATTGATAATCTTCTGGGAAGGATTTACCATTCTCAATGCCATTAAGAACATTCTTGATTCATGGAAAGAGGTCAGAATATCAACATGACTTTGAAAGGTTCCAGATTTCAGTGGAGGAAGTAACTGCAGACGTGGAGCCTAAAGATGTGTCTGAATTGCTGCAATCTCATGATAAAACTTTAACGGGTGAGGAGTTGTTTCTTATGGATGAGCTAAGAAAGTGGTTTCTTGAGATGGAATCTACTACTGGTGAAGATGTGAAGACTTGTGAAATGAAAACAAAAATCTAGTTGATAAAGCAGCAGCAGGGTTCATAAGGGATTGACTCCAGTTTTGAAAGAAGTTCTACTGTGGGCAAAATGCTATTAAATAATATCACATGCTACAGAGAAACTGTCTGTGAAAGGAAGAGTCAGTCAATGCAGCAGACTTCCTTGGTGTCTTATTTCAAGAAGTTGCCACAGCCACCCCAGCCTTTAGCAACTACCACCCTGATTAGTCAGCAGCCATCAACAGTGAGGATAGATCTTCCGCCAGCAAAAAGATTATGAATTGCTGAAGGCTCAGATGATAGTTAGCTTTTTTTTTTAGCAATAAAGTATTTTTTAACTAAGGTATGTACATTGTTTTTTGGACACAATACTATTGTACATTTAATATACTACAGTATAGTGTAAACTTAGCTTTATATATGCACTGGGAAACCAAAAAAAATTTGTGTGATTCACTTCATTCTCAATCGCAATATTGTGGCTGTCCAGAACTGAACCCACAGTATTACTGAGGTATGACCTACATTTAACTGTGCAGTTGAGGAGAGTTTCCATTTAACTTTTAATTGGAAGTTTTGCAATGTAATGGCACACTAAAAAGAAAATATCAAAATAATTTAATAAAATTCTGTAACAGTCTACTAAAAGAGGAATATACTTAATTAAAATTATAAGCTCATGTTGGGAGGTATGAACTTCCCTGAAGGTGGTTGTACAATATTGTGAATGTACTAAAAAACCACTAAATATACACTAGAAAGAGCTAACATGGCGACTTTTATGTTATGTAAATTTTATCTCGATAAGAAAATTATAAGCACATGGATTAATAACAGTATATGGCAGTATCTATCAGTATGAAAGACATTTTCAAAGATGAAATACAGAAAATCTCATTATATGTCAGCATTAACAAATGCGCATTTGCAATTGACATTGATGATAGGAAACACTTTGAACCCAATTAAACTAGATGTTATTTTTTTAAATTCCATTCCTGTTCGTAGGCCTGTATTACAAAAAACTTTGTACTAAATTATTATTAGTATATATTCAGTTTTATAAATAAAAATTTGTTCTTCCTTGCTATGTACCTACATAATATCCTTGATTTTGCCTCTTGGCCTGCAAAGCCTAAAATATTTACTCTCTGACCCTTTACAGAAAGTGTTTGTTGACCTTGCTCTGGGTAGATAGACTAATGAAATTTACTAAAAATGGGAGTGTTCATCAATGGATTGCTCTTAATTGTATATCCCTAATTTAGGATTGCTTATGTAAAAATACCTAGAATCTATGGATTTATAACTTCCTAGAAACAATCGTGTAAGCTAGACTCTGAGGTATAAAATGGAGATGTGTTACAACTTAAACACTCCCCACTATGCAAGTGACCCCCAAACCTCATTTAGAGGCCTCACCTATTATTCTGGACCACAGAGTACCTATATGGTGTGAGAAGGAAGGACCTACAAGCCAGTTGGATGTCTTAGACCTCTCCTTACTCTGTGTGTGCCTCTTGGCTGCTTGTATTTTTGAAATTATTAATAAAGCTTGATTCTAGGTAAGATCTCTGATATTTATGAATCAGGTATGACAGTCCAGTCCTATGTGTTAGCTCAAGTACTATTTATGTATTTGAAAACCTAAAGTAAGTTTTCAGCGAGTTACAATAAACAATTCTGGCAAGACCATCTTAAATATTATTTTATGCTTGGGGTAGAGAGTAATGAATTTCTCTTAAAATAGGTAAAAGAACCATATTTGCTAATATAATTACTTAGTGTAATTTGGTAAGGAGCATATGTTACCTTCTGCTCAACAGTCCACATATTTCGTGAGGTCCCTTTAAGCTCAGTCCCTTCTGTAGTTAAAGTTTTATTATTTATAATTAAATATCTTTTCATGAAAGCAAACCAATATATGCAAGTGGTAAGGATGCTAAGACCAAATGTGCTGCATCATCTGTACATCATCTGTAGCGAAAGTTAAATTAGATCATTTCAACCCTGTCTGGCCTAAGAACTATCATCTACTTTAGCAGGTTTTGAAAAATGATTATCCCTTAAAATTTTTACAAAATGTATTGTTGTCTTTGAGATATTTTTCCTCACTCTTTATGGCATAATTCTTAAGTTTATACCAAGGAAAACCTTCCATGTCAGAACTTTAGAGTTTTCAGGAAAAACAAACAAAACAAACTTCTGAGTAATTCGTATTGATCTCCCTTGAATATTTTGGTCCCAATGAGATCTGCTATTATTAATGTCTTTTCCCTAAAGATATGTAACTTCAGTCCTCTGAAATATTGTTTGCATAAATTTATAAAGTTTCTACTTTGTTTTTCACCCTCCTCGTAAAAATCTTGTAAATACGGAAATTTTTTAAACTATTTTATTTTGTAAGTGACAACTCACTGCATATCACATCATGGAAACATGACACCATCATGATAGTGATGATGAAATTGAAAGACTTTTGAATCAAATGAAAATGTGTACTAAATTGGTCAGTGGGAGAAAGAATGATAGGAAACTTTTAGTAAAGGTAGTTAACTTGAGTGACTAGTGCTGTTATGAAACATAGAGCCGGAAATATGTAATGTATCCTTTTGTTTGTTTTTGTTTTTAAGGAAAAACATTAACTTTGGGACTACATCTGGAATAGCATCATCTACATGGGCATTCCCTCCTGCAGTTTCAGAAAACCTTTGGTAATTAATTGATAAAATGCAGACAATCTTGCAAACAGATGAAGTTACCAATACCCAAGCTCTTAGAAAAGGAAAGAGGAAAAGAACAGAGACAGTGGACTCAGAGAATGCAAATAGTGACATGGACAAAGGACAGGTTGGTGTTCTGTTACCTTGATACAATTTTATTACCTAGCTCCACCACAACTCCATCATTCCTCTCATAGCTTATTAGTACTTTCTTTATTCTGTTCATTTATCCTTCCCTTTAATTTTTTATTCAACCAGGGAATAAAGTGGCATGTTCTCTTTTTAATGTTGAGCAAGTTGAATTAGAAACATACTCAAAGATATTTTACCTGCTTTCATTTAAGAATGGCCAATTATGCCATTGTTCAAACGTCCCTTGGTATCCTGCGAAATTAAAGATCAGCAAACTGTCAGAATATACTTCTTTCTTTCAAAAAATGCTGGAGAAATTGGAATACCTCTTCTTTAACATTTACTGTTTCCTTTTTTTTTTTACTACATTTTGTAGCCCATCTTCATCACTGGTTTGGTTAGGGTGCCATCCCTATTTTTATTTTTTCACTGATTCCCCTTTAAGCTGAATTCCTTACCCCCATTCTCCTCCTATGCCTTGAACAACCTATCAGTGTGTTTATTCTGTATCTTTTTATTTGTTTGTCTTTATAAGTATTGGCGTACATCTCCCCAATACATGTAACATTTTATGTGCATGTATGCCTATTTAATTTTTAAAATAATATACTATACACTCTCGTGGTTTAAAATATTTTTAGTCTTTCAGGGATGGAGTCTAGAGGCATTCAGAATGGTCCAGCGTTTGAGATACTGTCTTAGGCTATATCCTACAATACAACCTGTAACAAAATTAGGCTGTCCTGAAGCCCTGGTAATAGAATTATTTACCTTTATACCATGAAGGTTGGGAAGCACCAAAATACATACGTGGAGTGTGCCCAGGCAAATTGTAAGGAGTTTGCGCTGTGAGACCTAAAGTTCTTACCAGGTTGTCTAAGAAGAAAAAGTACGTCAGCAGTGCCCATGCGGGTCCCATGTGTGCGAAATGTGTCTACGGCAGGATCAAGTGTGCTTGTTTGATTGAAGAGCAGAAAAGCTTTGTGAGAGTGTTGAAGGAGAAAATACCTTGTCTCAATTTGCTGGTGCAGGTTTAGGGGACCCATGGTTCCTTGAGGGGTAAGATAGTCACATGCTCTCGCAGGCTAGTATTGTGATTTCTTTAGCAATTTGTTTTTCTCAAAAACTTAATGGCTTTCCAAACTATTTATTTCACTTTGGATCCATTACAAGTAACTACAGCCAGAGATCTTATTTGGTCAAAAATAAGCGTGAAAACTCTTCTCTTTTATTATGGCATCTGTGTTCAGCCTCTTTTTTCTCCAACTTACGGCAGTTACCTAAAGACCAATGAAACAAAAAACTTGCAGGTCACACACTGAATCTGATGCTTCCCACTGGGATGGATCTCAGTGTCTAGCCGGGAACTTATAAAGAGAAGTTCCTGAAAAGAAAACGCCTGAGGTCACAGACTTACCTCCAGCTCTGTAGATGGAGAAGTAATTGGCTTTTTCAAACCTTGCCGATTTAGCATTACTGGACTCAGTCAGTTTAGATTGCGGACTGCATCCTAATGCAGATGGAAGAGAAACCTTTCATCTCTGCACACTGGCCAGCACTCACCAGAAGCCACTGACACACACCAACGTTCTTCTTCCAGACTCAGTAAGCACATGGTCTTACTGAGATATCCCAGCCCGCAGTTTTACCAAGTATGTCACCGAGGTCTAACAAGAGTCAACAGCTTTCCAGAGTGTTATATTTGTGCTCTTTTTGTCCACAACCTGACCTCTATCAGGTTTGGGGTATCTTGCTTCTAGGTTTCAAAATCTGGATTCGTTCTCTTGTATGTTCAAAGGCTGTAGCAAAGACTCAAACATAACAGCGGCTTATACAAGATGGACATTTATTTCCCTTTCACGTAACTGCAAGAGCAGTCCAGGGTTACTACGGCAGCTCCACAATGCTGAGGATCCCTCTGATCTGTGGCTCTTCCTTCCTCAACACACAGCCTCTAGCGCTGGGTCTAAGGTGACTGCCACAGCTCCCACCATGGTGGCTTTCTCTCTGCCAACAGAAGAAAAAGGAGATCACAGGCAGGAGCGGGCACGCCCATTCCTTTTAAGGTCACGATGCTTCTACTCATGTTTTATTGCGGATCCTTAGTCATATAGCTGCACTGAGCTGCACAGGAACCTGGGAACTGTAATCTTTAGCTGACAGCTACTTGTCCAGCTAAAATCCTGTTACTATAGAAGAATGAGAGAGCAATACCTGGAGATTGCTAGCAGTCTCTGCCCCTGTGCACTTTTCTATTGCGATCTTTTTGTTGTTGTTGGATTTCTTAGTCTATTCTAGTGGGTTTCCTATTCTGTCCTTATTGATTTGCACCAATACCTTATCTATTATAGAAATTAGTCTCTTGTGGTTTTTAGATTTCACAAATATATTCTCTTGACCTGGCATTTGTCTATTAACTTTATGTTTTCCATTGATGATTACCAGGGGATTAGCTTTTGCTTGATTTCATTTATTTCTTGTAGGAACTTGTTAAAAGTGGCAAGAACTAGACCATACATTCTAATTACTTTAGAATTATAGCAGATCCTCAAATAATGTCGCTTCATTGATGAGATGCCATAAGAACTTACCTCTTGTTTTTATCAATGAGCCTATGGTAAAATTGGTTTCGTTATATGTCATTTCACTTAAAGTTGCAGAATCCATTGACAATGTTAAGTGAGGGCTTACTGTACCCTCCATAGAAGGATGGTCCTAACAGACGCCCTTACGTGTTTTTTTAAACCTTCATTTCTGTTTAATCTAATCCATTATTTTTTTCATTAGGATTTATATATCTAGAGTCAGTACATTAGCTACTTGCCCACATATGATAATAGTAATTTTCATTACCATTTTATATATATAATATATGTCACTTGCACAAATATATGTAATAATGAGTATATACGCAGATACATATATTTGCATTTTTATAAAATAAGGAGTGAGATTAAATGTATACATTACAAATCATACAAAAATGTAATTATATTTTCTATAACTTATCTTCATCTGGCTTCTAATTCTCCATCCCTGCTTGATAAGAAAGGAAAACAAAGAAAAGCTTAAACGTCCATTCACAGTGAATGACAGAATGTTCTAGTTTTTAAAAGTCCCTTTGGGCCATTAATATGATTTCAGTCCACACTGCTATCTGTGTCCATGGGTTATACATATAAGTTATTTGGTGGGGGAGCCGGGTGTGGGGTGGAGGGGGTCAATGTGGAAAAAAGGGGACACATATGTAATACTTTCAACAATAAAGATAATTTTTTCTTAAAAAAAATGAAAAATATATATATAATTTTAGTCATGTCAGGATTTAAGCTTCTATGGATCCCAGATTCTTACCCTCCCCCACTTTCTTTTTTTCCCCTGGGAAGTGATCCAAGTCTTCAGAAGTCTTACATATCATCCCAACATCTAGGGAGGGATAGCTGGCCTTCCTCCAAGCTTCTAACTTTTCTGCCTGGTTTCCAGGTGTCCAGCAGTATTACTATCGAGGTACAGCCAGGCTTTCCAGGTCCTTCGGGGCTTCTATTAAACTGCTACCAAAGTTTGCCATCCTGGCACCCACTGCCATCTTCTATAAGGTTCAGGCACCTGTGACCTCTCTGTCTACATACTAAACTATTTCTGTTTCACCAGCTCCCCCAGCACTTACCCATTTACTGACCAGGACACAGGGACGTTTTGGATTCTCTAGCTGCTCTGCATGTGCTCTGGGATGTCTAGATGGTCTCCAGTCTTTTTGTCCAGATACCAATTTTGGCCATTTCTAATCTATGGCCCAGAGGGGTGCCTTGATGCCCTGATGTTATGCTGGACATGGAGCCTCTTTAGAGAGCTTATAATGGACTAAGAAGCAAGGAGCCAGCCCCGCTGCTCTGGAAATGCCCGTTATTTATCTAGATGTTTCTATCATATATTCCTATCCCTATAATCCAGCCTCCTTCTTCCCAAGGGGCAGGAGCAAGAAGATCAAAGACAATTGAATTTGATTTCCTGCCACTCCAGTCCTTGATTCCCAAGGCCCCTCCTCCTCCTGGCACCAGAATGTCTTATCCCTTCCTATGCAGCAGGAACTTTATGTCATGCCTTTGTCTCTTCTACTATAAAGCATATTTTTAAAAAACTTTATACTCCAACCTTCTTGATTTGGATCTTTTTCAATTCCACTCTATGCTCCACTTTTCCAGGTTTGGGGATATATATGTGTATATATATATATATATGTGTGTGTATATATGTGTGTATACATATATATATATGTATGTATGTATATATATATATATATATGATAGCAGCTTAGTAATTTGAGAAAATTCTTTTCTGTCTCAACACAGAACGCAGCCTGGGTTTTACAACTCAAGTGCACATGTGTTCAGACTATTGCCTTGCAATTGACCTTAAGAACAATTTTAAAACTAAAAGGTAAACACAAATGTTTTGTTCCTAGGTGAATCTTTTCTCTCCTTTTTCTGATGCAGTAAACCCCCAAATTGTCCTCATGGCAACAGAGAGACTGTGAATGAGAGGTAGGGTAGAAATGGAGAATGGGGATGAATTGCGAAGATTGGAATGGTGGTCTTGTCAATTCTGCCCTGTTACACTCTTTTTCTACTTGTATTTCTCACTGAAGGTAGGCAGAAAGCCAGAATCGTGATTTCTGATTTTCAAGAGATACGTGCATGGAACTCTGATGTTCTTCCCTTCTTCTGACTTCCCCTGGACAGTGGAAGGCAAGGCTGAGGCTAGATCATTGGTTAGAGCCCAGCCCCTCTCGGCCACAAAGTGCCTGGGAGAACAGGAATGAGTAGGTCCCTTCAGCGTGGAGAGCGTGGGCTAAACCGTTAAAGTCACTTGGAAGCTTCTTTTCTTGTACCCGCCTTGTATTTCAGAGAGACCCATATTCGGGAAATGCCTTTCTGCCCGGTGAGAGCTCCAGTGAAGATGAAGAGCCTTTAGAAGAATTGTCAAAGGAGGAACTGTGCATGAAAATAAAAAGCCTGAAACAAAAACTGACCAACACCCGCAAGGAAAATAGTCGACTTCGACAGTCTTTGGTCATGCTTCAAGGTAAACTTTGAGAAAATTGGCACCTTTAGATGAAAGGGAAGATACATTATGAGTGAAAAGTGTTGCACATCAGCGGTTGAGAATGAAAAGGGAAAGACCTTAGAGAAAAAAATTAAAAATCACATTTTAAGAAAATTTATGATTCATTATTTCATATGGAATCACCATATTGAAGCTGCTAGTTTATTGCTTAGGAAGTTTTAAATTATCCCTACAAAATACCAAATATCATGTTCATTTAACAATGTTCAACGGACATTTATTGAGCACTTAATATAGACACCACTCGCCGGTAGGCCCTGGAGAGAAAAGATTAGTAAAACAAAACAAATGTGTTAAAGCATTGCTTATCTCAATCCCCTTTGCTAAGGAAAACACTAGAAAATGGAACCTGTTCTAATCCATTATAGAACAACTATAATTAAAAAGTCCATGTATTAAATGTTAGTGTTGGAGCTGGGAGGAGTGGTTGGGAAAATAATCACATTCATTGTGATAAAGGAGAAAGATCAGCATAAGCAAATTAAAAACCACTTGGCATAATGCTTTTGTAAGATCTTCTATTGTGTTTAAGTGTTTATTTTTCAAAAATTGTATTTTCCATTTGTGGTTAAGCACCACGCACTACTTTATACAGCTGGATATTTGGCAGTTATATCCTATGATGGGCAGCACTCTGTTGTAAACAGTAAACACACAGAACATTTTGAAATAAAGCAGCTGTGTACAGAATGAGTACACGTGACAGAGAAAAGAAAGGGGGGATGAACTTGAAAGGTACAGCGGTCATCCAGACTAACTTGATGGCAGCCTGGCCTAGGGTGCTGACGCTGGAAATAAACTGGACAGTTCTGCAGTATTTTTCGAGTCAGAAATGGTGAGATAGATAGAACCATGGTGGTGACAGGTTGACAGAGTAATGGCTCACGTGCTTTCCTCAGAGTATTTATTAAATTAAGTTCTTACCAAAAAAAGTACTAATATTCCGTAGTCTAATAGATAATTCATAGAAGTTCAAATAATCACAAACAAATATATATTTAACTTCATAATAATCAAATAATTGCAATTTAAATTGAACTAAAATTTTAGCCTATCAAAATAGTGAAGATTATTGTTAGTGGTTAATGCTTTTATTGATGGTGCAGTGAAATGGCCATCTTCTTGCATAGCTAGTGGGAGCTTAAGTTGGAAGAATCTTTCTGAAAAGCAATCCAGCAATATTAATTGAGGCTATGCAGTTCATCTGTGAGTTTTTTCAAATGGTCACAAATCTCCAAAAATTTTCCTCTATATATTGATTGATTGATTTGAGAGAGAGAGAAAGGGAGAGAGAGAAAAACATCAATTTGTTGTTCCACTTATTTATGCATTCATTGGTTGCTTCTTGTATGTGCCCTAACCAGAGCTCGAACCCACAACCTTGGCATATTGGAACAACACTCTAACCAACTGAGCTGCCCTGCCAGGACCTCCAATATATTTATTGAAAAAAAAATCCATGTTAAAAAAAAAATCCATTTATAAATGGACCTGTGCAGTTCAAACTCACAAGTTCAAGGGTCAACTTTAGTTTATAGCATGAATTTGGCAGAGTCTGAATTTGAATCTTGTTTCTTCTTTTCACTAATTGGGTTGACCCTGGATGGGTTATTTAACCTCTGATTCACTGCTTAATTGTCCCCATCTATAAATTAAGGATATGATAATACCTATTTTGTAGAGTTGCAATGAGGATTAATTGAATTAGCATGAATAAACTTCCCAGAATAATGCCTGGGACAAAGTAAAAGCTAGGTCAATGTTTAATATTATTAAAGGCTCGATAAGTAATTTCTAATTGAATAAGTCTGACAAAGGAGAGGTGCTTAGTAAATATTAATTGAAAGAATATCAAATAAGATTTTCTTCTGTAGTAGATTTTTCTCTTTTTGTATCAATATAGTACCAGATGTATTGATTTTGGCATGTCATGAATATGCCTGATTTTCAGCTCTCAAATCTTATATTATTCTAAAGATTATAGCTCAATAATATGCTTAAGAAAAGTACAAAAAATTTTCAGTCTTTGTGCCCCTCAACCATGAAGTGAGGAGTTGAATTAGATAGGGTTCAAGGTGACTTCCAACTCCAACAAAATGTTATTTGTCCTTAGGAAACAAACTAAATATAACAACAGAGAAGACCATTTAACATGGAGACATGAAAACTTTGAATGTGTAAGTTTCCATTGAAAAAAAGAATAAAGTGAGCATTCGGTTAACTACCAAAATTCATCTTTGTGAAAACATAGATTTGACTTGTGGCAATGAATTTTTATTAGTTTGTTGGAGTTTGACTCCATGGCAAACCATACACAAAGGTCATGGAAAATTTATTTTAATCTATGAAAAATGGTTTATTTTAGGTTTATTTTATCTTGTCACTTAAGCTGGCTTAATGTGAGTATCTGGAAGGTGATTGGTAGTAGACTCATTAATGTCTCCAAACAAGAGATTAAACACTTTCAAATAATATTATTAACAATTAGAAAAAAGAACCAACTTGTTAAAACATTCACTTTAGTTAAGTGTGATGCATAAACATTTAAATACCATCACCAAATGTTTTTAAATTGATTTTTTATTACTAAGCAATTATTAAATTACTTAATAATAAAAAGTAAATATGCCCCAACCACATTTCTTACCATGTTTATTTTCCAAAGGTAGCAAATGTTAACAATTTGTTCTACATATTTTTATGCATATGAACACAATAGGAAATGTATATATGGCCCTGTTATTAAAAAGTATTTGTAAGGTGTTACTTTTTCTTGCCATTTTAGTGTTACCACAAGCAGTTACCCAGTTTGAAGAATTGGTTGGTATGGCGGAGGCTGTGCTTAAGGGTAGAGGAACCATGTTTACATCTGCATCCACCCTCTGGAGAGCAACAAACAACAACTCACCAGATTCATTTGCCTCCATGTGCAGTAATTCTAACTCTAATTCTAATTCCAGTTCACCAATTTCCTTGAGAGCTGAAGAAGAGCATCACAGTGAGGAGAAGCAGGTCAGTTGGAATACCCACCCTATTTTTCTCTGGGATACAGTTAAATACAACAATTAAAATAGCGCAAAGTGACCATTGTTTTGTCAGCTACCTTTAAGTAACTTTAGGTCACAACCATAACATTCCAATTGCATAAAACAATTTTTTACAATAAGTCTAATATTTGTGAAGCAAATATCCAGTTTAGAAAACTAAAGTCAAATTGTGGACAGTGATGAAGTTTAAAAACTAGAAAATTCTTACTACAGAGACAGAAGGATAACTGTGCTTTAAGGGTTATGAGATTATCTCACTGAGAGAAGGTAAATATCACCCTCTGCATGCTGTCTGGACACAGTTCTTTTTCTACTTTCTCAGTTTCTCTTAAGAAACAGAAGCTAGCCCAAGCCAGTTTGACTCAGTGGTTAGAGCCTCGGCCTGTGGACCGAAGGGTCCTGGGTTCAATTCTGGCCAAGGGCAGGCATGTACCTCGGTTGCAGGCTGTACCCCGGTTGGGGCATGTGCCGGAGGCAACTAATCAATGTCTCTCTCACATTGATCTTTCTCTCTCTCTCCCCCTTCCACTCTCTCTAAAGAGCAATGGAAAAAATACCCTCAGGTAAGGATTTAAAAAAAAAAGAAAGAAACAGAAGCTAAAAAAACAAGACCTTTGTTTGAATCAGGTATCATTGTTGGAAAATAGGCCTTCAAGAGCAATAATTAAATACTAAAACTCTAACATTCCAAGTATTTGAATCTTAGTGTATTAATTTCCTTTTGCTATATGACAGATGGCCACAGGATTAGTAATTTATAATAACAGATTGCCCGGCCAGGTGTGGCTCAGCGGTTGAGCATCGACCTAAGATCCAGGAGATCGAGGTTCAGTTCCCGGCCTGGGCACATGCCCGGGTTGCGGGCTCGATCTCCAGTCGGGTTCGTGCAGGAGGCAGCCGATCAATGACAACTCTTTTATCACTGATGTTTCTCTCTCTCTCCCTCTCCTTTCCTCTCTCTGAAATAAATAAAGATATATACATATATATATATATGTATATATATAAATGTTTAAAAAATAATAATAGATTTATTATCTGAGAGTTCTGTAGGTCAGAAGCGTGGTAACATCAAGCTGTTGCAGGCGCACTCCTTTCTGGAGGCTCTGTGGAAGACTCTGTTTCCTGCTCATTTGGGTTGTTGCAGAATTCAGTTTTTCGGTGGTTGTAGAACTAAGTTCCAATTTTTTTGATGACTGTAAACTGAAGGCCATTCCTGCTTCTAGAGGCAACCACATTCCCTGGTTTGAGGCCCACTTCCACCATCCCCAAAGCCAGCCATGGCAAGCAAAGTCCCTCTCACTCTTCGAATCTCTCCTCCTTCATGTCTCATTTTCTGACCCATTCTTCTGCCTCCCTCTTCTGCATTTAAGGGCCCTGTAATTAGATGAGGGCACCAGCAGAATCCAGGATAATCTTCCAATCTCAAGGTACTTAAATTTCATCACACCTGCAGAGTTTTCCCATCTTCAGTGGGCCAGTATTCTGCCTCCCACACTTAGTTAAGTATTGAGGAGAGGACTGATTTTTAAAGCACCAAATCCAGATTCCATAACAAGAATTTGTATAGACTGTGGGCCAAATACCTCATAAATATTGGGAAGTATCTCAAAGATAACATTTAACTCTAACCCCTGAAGTATAATTTACATACTAAAAATATAATACATCAACTTAAAGAATGTTGATCTTGTTTTCTGGTATGCCTTAATTAGTAATATATTCCTCCAGGTATTACTTTCCTTTTTCTTCTTCCCATTTCATTTATTATTTTTTATTTTTCAGTTCAAGATTGAAAAATGGCAGATTGCCCGTTGTAACAAGAGCAAGCCTCAGAAGTTTATTAATGATTTAATGCAAGTACTTTACACAAATGAATACATGGCCACACACAGCCTGACTGGTGCAAAATCCTCTACTTCAAGGGAGAAAGCTGTAAAGCCAGCTATGAATCAGAACGAAGTTCAAGAAATCATAGGTGATCATGACTGCATTACATTGTCATGTGATTTTGAAATTATTTTACCCCTCAAAGTTAAGTTATTCTTTTATGATTTTTTTATTCAAATTTATCTTTCTATGAAATAAAAACCTGAGGATAGCATAAACCCTATTAAATATGGGCAATTTTATAGAACAACTTTACATTAAAAGTAGATGTTAAACTAAAACTAAATTTTATATCACTAACAAGTTCATAAAATTCATAGCTTTAGAAAGGTAAATTTTCAAAATCCTTTCAACCAAAATTCCAATAACAGTTTATATCTTATTTCTTTTTCTTATCTTTGGTCTATCCTTTATCTCTTATTCTAGAAAGAGAGAAGTGAATTTGACTATCTTATTTATGGTTTTTAAGTTAACAAATCTCCTTAAATATAATAATCTAGATGGTCAAATAATTTTTTTTTTGCAAATAATCCAACAAATTAAGGGAATCACTGAATCCCAGCTTTCTATTTTTTTAATAGTATATAATTTCTTACTTGGAAAAGTGCCAGTCAGACTCTAGCTGTTCCAACTGAAGTTAGGATGGATAAAATTAACTTCTTAACATTTTGGAGCAAGGAGACAGAGTTCAGAGCAAGGAGCAAGGTTGAAAGTTGAGTGGTACCATGGGAAGACACATATGTATGTCCTCGCTTTATAACATAGACCTTCGTTATCTCTTACTTTGCTTTGTAAAATCTGTCTATATATTCATCTACTTAAATATCTCCTGGGTGTTTGGGCTGCTTTTTCAAAACGAAGACAAAATTGTAATGTGGGTTGCTGAGGTTTTACCTCAGTTCCTATCTTAAGATGCAAAGGCCTCACAAAGTGGTGTTATGTGTTGCTGTTGTTTTTGACAGGAGTCACAAAACAGTTATTTCCCAACACTGACGATGTCTCGGTCAGAAGGATGATAGGGCAAAAGCTGAACAACTGTACCAAGAAGCCAAACTTAGGCAAAAATATGAACTCTCAGGATATTAAGTAGATCTTTTCGGTAAGTATTTTAAATCTTCACTATCTCTTTAATGTGGTAAGAAGATGTAATACATCTATTCCTGGAAAAGCGTTTTTCAAACACTCTTCTAGAGAAACCAGTGGCCTGTGAAATGCTGGCATTTCTGGGGGTGAAGGTGGGCACAGGGAAGGGAATTTAAATTTGGGAAATGATGATTTCGGTTACACCGATTTTTCTTTCCTAGAACCTCCCAGACGTTTTGATACCCTTTAGTATTCCCAAGCGCACCAGAAACCCCCAAGAAGGGGATATAGTATGTAGTATTTTCCAAATGTGTTTTACTGAGGAACGTTTTTCTTCTTCACAGGACATGTGTTAAGTTGTGGGTAGCTAGGGGTAGGAAGGAGCCAAAGGAGGAACGTGTGGCAATTTAGGAAGTGTTTCTCTAGAACAGAAGGGATTCATACCTTTGGGAAAAATCTGTGGAGCATCAATGCTATTGAATTTACAGCTCTAACCCAGGGATTTGACCTGTGTACAAATTCCTGGCTGGAAGTATTGAGGGGTTTCCTCCCCCACTCCCCATTCTGCTTTCCATTGTCTTTAAATCTTTAAATCGGTTGTTATCATTTGTTTGATGAGGATTGTTACCAAGATGTTTATACTATAGGAAGGAAAAGAATTATTTGTTTTCAGTGAGAGCTGAGGGAGATACACTTTAGAGGCAGGCCCTGCCCTAGGCAAAACTGCCAAATGGAATTTTGAGTTTGCTTTAGCAGCCCCAAGTCCTGGCTGTTTCTCTCGTGTTCACCCTTCCTCTCCATTATTTTGATGGAAAATATGTAAAAAAAATATGAATTATTGTGTTATTAATGTTTTAATTGATAAATGGAAGTATATGGTAAACACCGAGGGCAGGCTTTTCATCCATTTAACTTCCACCTTGCCTGTTCTCCACCTGACTCTACCACCTCCGAGACCATTTCATTTGTCTTTTTCTTCTGGCCGTGTTTTAAATGGGATATGGAACTGCGTGGATTGCACTAATTCAACCAGCCCCCCTCCTCTCATTGCTGCCTACCAGCCCACCCTCCTTGAGGGTCCCTTACTATTTTGCTATACAAGTCAGGCTACTGATGAGGGTCTACAATAGTCTCTCTTCCTTAAAAACATACACACAAAACTACTTATAACAACTGCAGGGGGATTCTGCAGTTATAAGTAGTAGAGGGATATAGACCAACTTGAAGATTTATAAAAAATAAAGACATTTAATCCCTAAGTGATGAAAAATTTCAGTGGGCTGTGAATTTCACAACTTCTCAGTTAGTAAGTAATTATTTAAATGAGCCCTTAGAAGTTCTCATTTTGACATGGGCTACCTTATTAACTTATTAATGGCCAAGTTCCCTCTCTAACTGCCATGCAACCAGACACACAAGCCATAGAGCTATCTTTTATAGCACAGTATCGTACTTCAGAGCTCTTCGAAGCATTCTAATATTCTAACTTCTGCCTTTTTAATATCTCAGACTGCCAAAGGTAAGCACAAAATTCTTTTCTGACAAGATCAGTCAGCAGAGAGTTAAAGAAATTAAAGTTAAAAGGTTTTTATATCAGTTTTGCTTGTACTTGCCAGTAGTAGTGTAATTAAATAACCTGGCTATGGCCTCAATTAAAAATTTAAAAACAAACACATCTTTTGCTATTAACACAGTAAGTTCTTGTGCCTTCTGAGCCTGAGCTTTGCTTTGTTGCCAAGTTGCTTAGAATAGAAATGGATGTATTTTGCATCAGGAGTAGAGATTAGCAAGGTGTCAGAAGTGAATGTGGTCTGAATGGGTAAAAGTTTTTTTTTACTTGATAGATATCTCTCATTTGAAGTATAGCTAAATCAAAATTATTTCAAAAGGACTGAGAAAATATGCTGGGAAGGACAGACAGCGTATTTAGCCACGCTTGATGAATTAGTCAGATATAGCACCATCTAGTGGTTATTTGACTAACAGGAACCCAAAAGGTGACTACTACATTTACTTAGGCAAAACATGCCCCTTGCGTGGCCCCTGTCCCCCAAAAGTGTTATTTGGAAAAATCATTTCCTTGCATTACTATTAGCAGTCAACATGTTGCAAAATCATATAGACTTATATGAACTCCTATTCATTCAAGAAGCCAGCCTAGCAACCCCCAACGACGGGCCCTGTGGCTGACTGTGCTCTCCACCTAGTACTGAGCTCAAGGTCCCACTGATGGCTTGGGTTTGAAAGGACAACCATTTCCCAGCTAAGACTCATTTCTTTGAGGATTAATGCTAAATTCCATCTTTCCCCCCTTTTCATCTATTCTCTCTCATTCCTGTGACAGCTGTTAGGCCAAAGTGAGAGGCAACCAGTATTTATTTGAGATCCAAAAGAATAGCTATTAGGAAAGCACTGATTAGGGCAGAAACCCAACTAGTGTTCCAACTAGGAGGGAAGACAAAGGGTGTTGTTGAGAAAGGGAAGGAGAACAATTACATCGAAAGAAGGAAGGAGCCTGGCCGGGCGTGGCTCAGCGGTTGAACTTCAACCTAGAATCCAAGAGATTGAGGTTCGATTCCCGGTCAGGGCACATGCCCGGGTTGCGGGCCCGGTCTCCAATCAGGGGCATGCAGGAGGCAACCCATCAATGACTCTGTCATCATTAATGTTTCTGCCTCTCCCTCTCCCTTCCTCTCTCTGAATCAATAAAGATATATATTTAAAAAAAAAAAAAAAAAAAGGAAGGAATTTCTTTTGTGCAGAGAAGCTAATACAGTGATGTCAATTCTAAAGAATGTTTTTAATTTTCAGTCTGGCAGTTACAATACGTGCTTTCTTATTATCTTTGCAAACAGTTGTTTGGGATACAACCTTTGGGTCCAGTCCAAAGGTTATTTTGCCCAGTTTTGACATTCGAAGGGGTCGAAAAATAAGACATGCAAAGGCAGTTCCTCTAGAATGGCACCTCTGACTCCATTTTAAAGTGGCTCCGTTTATATTATTTTTCACTGCTCTCAAGTTGCCTGAAGCTTGCAAATTGCCAAGAGCTTGATGTTGCCAATCTTTCTGGCCTTTCTCCAGTTTTTGCTTCTCTTGTAGGAGCTGAAGAAAATTTTATTTATAAGAATAAAAGACTATTAGAATCCCGCCGCCATAACATTCCACTAAGTGGTCAAACAGCCTCCTCCAGAAATTTCCAAAGCTGCCTCAGTATATATAATCTCTACCATACTATTACATACGCGTATATTATAAGCTAAAGATCATTTAATGCAGCAGTGCTGAAATGGGGTGGAAGAGATTTTGTCCCCTACCCCTCAACAGGAGGTTATTTGAAAATGTCTGGAGACATTTTTGGTTGTTACAACTGGGGAATACTGCTGACATCTAGTGGACAGAAGACTGGGATGCTGCTAAACTTCCTTCAGTGTATAGGACCGCAAAGAATTGCCCAGCCCAAAATATCAACTGTGCCAAGGTTGAAAAATCCTAGTCTAAATGTTTTCCTTATTTTAGAGATAATGAAACTAAAGCCTAAAGAGGTTAAGTGAACTGACAAGGTCATACAGTTAGTAACTATTAGAGAACCAACACTAGCATATAGTTTTTCGTATTTCTTTTGGGAGTGGAGGGGAGCTTTACACCAAAAAAAACAACTTTATAAAATTCAGAGGGCAAATAAATTATAGAAATCACATACAACATAAAAATGGCCATGTTTTCAAAGCTGCAACCTCGATAAATGTCTGGCTGTAGACAGCGTGGAGCTTATCAGTCCCAAATCCCCTCATCGGTGCTAGAAGAACCGGTTCAGTGGAAGTTCAATTGAGTCAGACTTGGCTTCCTGATTCTTAAGAGCTGACCAGATAACCAGGTGTGGCTTAGTCTCAGGCAAACACAAAATGACCCTTCTCAAATCATGAAGGGTTCTGTGCTTTATTTAGTACTGAAGAAGGTTGCTTTGTACTCTCTATCCTGACCTATCCTTGAAGTATTCTGGGTTCTGGAATTTGTAAGATTCATCTAGTTCTTCTGGCTGCGGGTGGCCAAAGTCAGGCTGTGGTACCAGCGCACAGCTCCTCCTGGTCTGTGGACAGAAGCAGCGGCTTCTCTCACAGGAACAGGACAGGCTGAGCAGTCCACCACAAGGGCCTCCTGAGTGGCCAGAGACCCTGTGGAGTAGACGCTGGGCCATGGGGTAGAGGGCCTGGCAGGCAAATGTGCCACTTTGGGGCAGATGCAATGCGGGTCAAGGCCTGGCCACGAGGAGCAAGTCAGAGAAGAGGAAGAACATTCGGAGAGGCTCCCCACGGGGAGGCAGCACCAGCAGCCAGCCCTGGCGTAGGAACCAGCAAGCCCAGGTAAGCCCCTTTGCCTGGCGTCCGCCGAGCAGAGCCTGGACACACGGGAGAAGGAGCTGCTCATTCCTCTGTTTCTGCCCAATGGTGTGGATTCTCTGGGCGATCTCACTTTTCAGCTGAGCAGCCTGTTCATGCTATTGGTGCTCAGGGTTGTTGGAACTTGGGTTTTCTGCCAAAGCAACAGTAAGATTCTCATACTGCTCGAGCATCTGAGAGCCAGAAGAAGCAGGTCCTGGAGCTGAAGGCCTGCAAACCCAGGGCAGCCTTCCTGAAGCTGCATGAACCTCCAGGAATGTTTGCTTTTCTTTAGTTGCTCCTGCAGGGTGGTCCAGGACTTCTCTGAATTGGCAGCAAATTGGGTGTAGAGCACCAACCAGGTCGGGGCAGAAGCCCTCCAGTCCCTGTCCGCAGTGCCCTCTTCTAGGTAGGGAAGCAGCTCTTGGCTGGTTCATAAATAAGCTCCCAGAACCCAAACATGGCCTGGCATTTTGGTCACAGGGTGCCCTTGGCTCTCAGAATCCCCATGAAGTATGTGGCCACAAGCCCCAGCTGTTCCTGGTAGCGCTGCTAGGTCTCCAGCAGCTCTCCGGCAGTGCAGGAGCATTTCTGCTCCCAGTGGCCAAGCTGCTCTTGCATCAGTTACTGAGCAGTGGGGCTCAGACTCTCCATGCTTAGCTAAAGGTAGTTCTTTGCATTTCTTATGCATTAGTCATGGCTCCCTCAGAGAAACAAATTTATTTTAAGGAATGGCACACACATTGTGGGAACCGGAAAGTCTGAAATCTGCAGGGCTGGGTGGAGACCCAGGGAGGAGTTGATGTTGTGGTATTGAGTTCAAGGGTAGTCTGGAGACAGAATTGCTCCTTCCTTCCTTAGAGGACCTCAGGTTTTTTCCTTAAGGCCTTCAACTGATTGGGTGACACCCACTCACATTATGAAGGGTAATCTGCTTTACTGAAAATTTACTGATTTAAATGTTAATCTCTTCCTAAAAAATACCTTCACAGCAACATCTAGACTGATATTTGGAAAAACAACTGTGCCACAGCCTAGCCAAGTTGACACATAAAATTAAATGTTTTAGGGCCAGAAAGTCTGGTTGTAAAGTTTGCTCCATCTCTTAATAAATGTGCAGCCTTTGAAAAGTTACTAGACCTCTCTAAATTTACCTAGCTCAGGGATAGGCTCAGGATTCGTGGAACCCGAAGCTTAGAGAATTTGGAAAAATCTCAGAGAAGAAATGCAAAAATTATGAATACACAATCAGTTACAACTGTATATGTTATTTTCGAATAACTAAATCATGAAAACTACATGATAGTTAAAAGTTAACAAATTTCAAAAACATCCCATCATGTAGAAGAAATTACATAATATTGTTATGAAGATCCCTGTAATACCTTTATATTTCATTTTTGGGGTAGCATACATGATGGTTGCCTCTTCATTTGACAACAATTTTATAATAGCCTTTTCTATAGAAAGAATAGAAAAATTAAGACTATCCTCTAGCATTACAGAGGTTTAAGTTCTTACCTCTTTATTAGCAATGTAATTTTTAGAATTGTCAAACTTGAGAAGCCTCTATTGAGTTTCTTTGATAACTGAGCTATAAGATTTCAAGGCATTTCAAGATTCCTATGAAGTGGCTGCCCTTAAATATTCTTTGAATGAACTACAGTCATAGCATTCCTAGGAGACTATGCAAACTGGAATGATCAGCAATAACGTAACTATACATGTAAGAGATTGCAAAGCAAAAAAGTATATCTGTCAGTCCTTAACAAAATCTCAGAAATGCCCACTGACACTCCATAGTTATAATTGGAGAACAAAATATGAATGAGGGGCAGTTGAAATGGAGAGAGACGTGGTCTTAACTGATTATGGTTGAAATACCTAATTTTGGCAAATTTAATATAAACATGTGAGCATATTACTAAGGCCCCATTTTTGGAAGATACCTATGTAGGTAAGCGTTATTAGCTTCACAGTAATTCCTCCTCTGACCAAGCTCATTTGGTTTACCTCTTTGAAAGAGGTAACGCAGATTTGAGATATTGCCTGATATTTATATAATCAATATGCTACTGAAGAATGACAAACAGAATTGTTGATAATTTTTTAAGATGGTTGATGGGTGATGGTTCATTTTATTTTGTGTGTTTGAAATTTTACCTAGTAAAAAGTTCCTTAAAAGTCATTTGAAATTCAAGTATATGTTAAATATTTTAACTGTTATCTATGCTGGAATTCCTCTGAATAGATCATTAAAAGAATTCCTAAGTCACCTCAGTGGTAATAGTTCTTATTTAAAATTTGTATTTTTAAACCAAAATTTGTAGTAGATACAAAAATAAATAACTCACACCACTGTTAAAAGACTATAAGAATTCTAAAATAAATTTATTCTGTCTTTGAAAATTTGCTTTTTATAGGTACTATAAGTATCCAAAATAAAGCACCTCCAGTTTTAAATCTAACGTTGGATTTTGTTGGAGAATCTGCAACCTCCCTGGCAGTGAACAGAGAGAGACATGTGCAGGGACAGGCTGTGAGACATCTGTAACATCGATGGACTCTCCTGATGGAGCAACAAGCTGCATGTAGATTCTACCCTAAATATCCACGGTGCATCAAATTAGAGAATTTCTAGCAGTCAAATAAGCATGCATTCTGGTTTCTTGCATTTTTCTGTCCCAAAATGCTTCTCTGTATAGCTAAGTTAACAGGATAGTCAGAGTTCTTATCATAACAAAAACATCAACCCTTGATGTTTGATTAAGACAATGACAATATTAAGATTTATCACTGTCCTAATCAATTGTGGTACTTTTTTAAAATTACCTGTCACTCTCCATTTTAATTTTTTGATCTTTAGCATGAGCACATGTGTGGAAAGTACTGTGAAGTAATCAGTGTTCACAAGTAAGAGAGCAGCAAAGTCAGCCTAAAATCTGATAATCCTATCTAACCAAGTAATAGTGTTTTAGCAATAAAATTACAGGATAATTCTGTTACTTAAAATGTATGAAATAGAAATAAAAAAATGAGAGCAGCAACACCTTCTATTTCAATAGGAAACTATTTCATTGTACTCCCCAAAAAGAAATAAATACAAATTTTTGTGATTGTTAAAACAATGCATCAACTTTCAGTAAAATTTTTTTTGTTTAAATGCTTCTAACTTTTTATTGCCCAAAGTATAAATACAGATATACAATATAAAACATCAATATCACCTAAAACATCCACATAAGATATAATATCCTTATGTATTTGGTTATATTACTACACTGTTTAGTTTTAACTGGTTTGTTTTCATAGCATCAGAAGAAAAAAATAATTAAACAAAATCATATAGGGTTGATAATCACACAAAAAGAAAAATGCCATTTTGTAAGCGAGTGAAAGGTAAAACATTCTTCATCAAGAGGTTTCTCCTTTGATGTCAGGTTGTCACAGGTGACGACTGCACCGCCGCTCCATGCTTCTCCAGTGCACAAGGTTATGCATAAACTTGTGAAAAAGGGTGCCTATAATAGAAAGCTCAGTACTGTGGGCCCAGGGAACATTCCATAAATGTTGCTTGATAACAATGTAGTTGTACAAAATGAATATTCTTAAGGAAATAACTTATGTTAACATTTGCTACTTTTACTTAAATATAAATAAATCCCATTGAAAACATGAAAAGTATTTGCTTGTTTCTCATTAAAGGATAAAATCCGGGGGGAGGGGGGATCCCTTTCTAGACCTCTGGCTTCTTTACCCACACCTTGAGGCATTACCATTACAGTTGGGCTGTGTGGTTCTGCTGGTTTGGCCTCTAAAGAGCTCTGCTATGCAGAATAAACAGACGGTAATACCCACAGCAAATGCTCGTTCTATGTAGGATACATACACAATGTTCAGGGTGCTTAATACTGTATGTTATTTCCTTTCAAAATACTCTGAAATACAAGTTTTGCCTACTAACTGTAAGTAAAATTTCCATTGCAAAACATAACTGTATTATTCAACGGATTTTGCAGGATTTTTCTAAGGTCTGTTGCTAGGAGTCCCCTAGATACTAGATGTCTTTTCTGTCCACATCCCAACCCCTTGACTTCTACTGAAGCTCAGCTTACCTCACCCCTCAGTTGTAATCTATAGGTTATAGATTTTGCACTTCTGGATGAATTTCTCCTTTTCAGGATGTATGCTTTCACTGGAACTTTCTGAGATCTGCCACTCATGAGGCACCTTGACATTCTCCTTGCATTTTCTGTTTAATTTTAATTAAATTCTTTCGGGTTCTGCTGATTTTGTCTGTCACCTATTTGCTGAAAAAGTGTGGCAGTATTTTTTTAGTATCTTTGTTGATTTAAGAGAGGAAGGGAGAGATAGAAACATCAATGATGAGAGAGTCATTGATCGGCTGCCTCCTGCACGCCCCCGACTGGGGATCGAGCCCACAACCCGGGCATGTGCCCTGACCGGGAATCGAACTCTGATCGCCTGGATCCTAGGTCGATGCTCAACCGCTGAGCAACGCCCGGCCTGGCAGCAATATTTTTTTAATCTTTATTTGTTTTTTTTTTCTATTTTTTGTTGTTGTTGCTTTGTTTGCTTTCTTAGGGGAGAAGGAAAGGGACGGGAAGGTCACCAATTACCTTGTTCATACCTGAGAGCGACACCCAGTGCTGTTCTTCAGAAGCCTCATGCACCTCTGTTCCTCATTCTTTAATTCAGAACTTGTCTCCACCTGCTCCTCCAGGCTCTTTTAATCTTTTTTAGAATTGGATAAAAATGAGCCTGTTGTTTATCTTTCGTTATGCTGGACACAAGATGGATCCTTTCAATCTGGGTACTTGCATCCTTCAATTCTGGGAAAATTTATTTTATTACTTTTGGTGTAATTTCTATATAACATTCTTCTCCCCACTCTTCATTTTATCTCCTTTCATTCCAATTATCCTGGGAATTCAATGATTTATGTACCGAATCTCTGTCTCCTATCTTTTCTCTACTTTTTTTGGTTAATCCTCACCTGAGGATATTTTTTTCATTGAATTTTTAAGTGGAGGGGAGGGAAGAAGTGGGGAAGAGAAAGAAAGAGAGAGAGAGAGGGAGAAACATCGATGTGAGAGACACATGCACCCGACCTGGGCCAGAGATCGAACCTGCAACCGAGGTACTTGCCCTTGACTGGGAATCAAACCTGCAACCCTTCAGTGCGTGAGCTGACGCTCTAACCACTGAGCATACTGTCCAGGGCTACTTTTTTTTTTTTTTTAAGTCTCTGGGCTTCTTTCTTTTTTCAGCTTCCAAGAGATTTTGTTGGCTATATAACTTGCAGCCATCTATTAAATTTTTAATTTCAACTGTCGAGTATATTTTCCTGTGCTTATTGTTTATTGTATATCTTTTTTAATTTTTATTTTTGTTTAAAATATTACAGATGTCCCTTTTTCTCCCCAATGACCCATTCCACCCTGTCTCATCCCCCTCCCCTATCTTTGTATGTCTTTATATTCTGGACACAAGTCTTACCACATATATGATTTGCAACTATTTCTATCTCTTTATCGATATTCTCTATTTGATGTGACATGGTCATCCTGCCTTTTCCTTCTGAATCATGTTTCCTGTAGTGCTGTGGACGTGTACAATAACTAATTTGAAGTCCTCTTACAAATCCATTCTAGTCGGCAGTTTCTGTTGTCTGCTTTTTCCCAGTGTATGGTTTATACTTTCTTGTTTCTATGCTTGCCTTTTAAATTTTTTGTTGGAAACTGGACACTTTAGGTAACATTTTAGCTTCTCTGTGTGCTGGTGTCCCCCTCCCTCCAGGTGTTGTTATTCTTATTTGCTCATTTGTTTAGTGACTGGCTGGACTATTTCTGTGAGGTCTGCTCCCCACTTCTCCCCCAGTGTAAAGCCTCTATGTTGCTTCTCGGGGAGGTGTAGCATCCCGTAGTCACCATGGGATGACATTGGATTTGGCAGAGCGCTCTTCCTCTTTCCCTGAGCATACCTAATGCACTAAGTCTTGGCTGAGTGCAGTTGACAGGTAGGAATTAGCAGCAATAATTCCTGCTGGTCGCTCTGTTTTTCAACAATGTTGTGGGGATAAATTACAGAGTAATCCAATCAAATTCTGTCTCTGAAGGAATATTTTCTGAAATCAGTGTTTGATATTTATGCCCCCCACCACCACCACCACCACACACACACACCCGCCCCAGGACTTCTTTTAGCTATGCTTATCCCATTCTCATGGAAACTTGGCAGCCTACAGTTTACCTAGTATCTTGAATGCCCTCCCAACTGCCTTTCACCACTTTTCTCTGTTCTTGAGAGCATCTATGGGGTTGCAAATGAAGTCAGCTATCTCTTGTAAATTAAGTCGGCTCCTCTCTGAGGAGATTAGGAGCGATCTGTTGTACAGCCTACTTTTCCTCCCAGGCAAATTCTCTAAACCAGGGCTCTGGAGCTAAAGGTGGAGCTTGTCTTTTAGTGACATCCCATCCCAGGAGCTGAACACTTGGTGGAGGGGTGGAGGTGTCAGGCTGAAGTCCCCTGGTCTTGTCTCTCCTGACATATAACCATCACCTTACCAGGCAGGGCAAGAGTAATAAAGGCTCCAGTATTCTCAGTGTACTGTGTTCAAAGTAGAATTTCTGGTCCATGTGTTATGTCCAAGAATCAGATCCCCTATGTGGCGGAAAGACAATCCAGAGCTGATAATGTAACAGCAAAAGGGACTTTTATTCCAGCTAGCTGGGGTTCGGTCGTATCCAATGCAGTGGAATTCTGACTCGAACCCCGATCTAAATTTACCACAAGCTTATATAGGGCTACAGTGAGCAAGCAATCATTGTCAGTTACAAAGTTACATGGGTTATAAATTCTTTAGGAAGGGTGGGCTCAGGATGTTTCTCAACCACAGGTGCCTGAAGCTGGAGTGCACCTGGTATTCGTCAAACCCACCGATTTAAGTTAATTCCTGGAACTGCCTCCACCCTCTGCAGTTTACTGAGTCACTCATGTATGCCTTTTGTCCTGCCCCGGGGCCTAGAGGCCTGCCTCTGTCTTGGTGGGTCCTCACACATGAGTGCCAGCTGCACTGAAAAGGAGGACCCCTACCTATCAATTGCACTCACCTAAGACAGCCTCAGCAACAGGTAGCTGGGGGCAAGATTAGAAATGCTGATGTCCTGCTCTGTCCAGGAAAAGAGCTCTCTGACGGGGAGTTGCGGGTGAGGGAGTGGAGAGACAGCCCCTTGTTCTTGTCTGCAGTAGTCTGGAGTTGAGTCTCTGTCTCACTGAGCTGGAAAGGGGGGTGATAATGTTGGGGGCAGAAATATTAATTGTTCTCTGTTAACTATGATTTTAGCTATAGTTATAAGAAATATTAATCATGATCTGTTAACTGTGGTTGTTCTGTTCTAATTAGAAAAAGCACTTTCTAACCTGGCTGGGAGTTGTACGCTCTGGACCTGGGAGTTGACCTTGGAATGTGATCCATTCTCCTTAACTGCCTACCATCATGGAAAGATTAACAGCCTTTTTGCATTAACAGCCTTGTCCGGGAGGTGCCTCATCTTTTGCAAAACCCCCAGCCTGCATCCCCTCCACCTGAGGCGGCCCACCCTTCTGCTGCCCCCAGCCCGCATTTCCTGTAACCTGTGAACGATTATATTCATTCTTATTCCTTTTCTGCCTACTTCCCTAGTAGTCTTTGTCCCTCTACCCAATATAAGAAACTGTTGGGGGGGGGGGCAGATTTTATGTGGACAAACTCTACTCTCCCATTTTGCCAGCAATATTGGAATAAATGCTCATATATGATTCAACTTTGTCTTTATTGGCTGAAGTAGCCACAGGCAGCCCAGATCCATTGTGTCCAGTTTCAGTAAGAAGTTGTCTTGGTTCAAATACTCTTGCCTTTGTTGCAGAATTTTCATAGATTTTTCTTGAATAGATATTTCATTTGCTGTTTGTCCTTAGTACTACTTCCATAGGCTTTAAGTAGTTTTTTAATGCAATTTTTTTCACCAGTTTCACTTAGGAGCAGGTCAGCATAGCTCCTCATGCTATCATACCAGAAGTCTATATTATTTTTTACAATTGCATGTGAATGTAAAATTATCTCAAAAGAAAAAAACCAATCAGGACATAAATATATAGCGTGGCTAAAGTACATTGAAGACAAGTGTTATAAGTTTCCTGGTAGAAAAAGTAAGCTGACCTACAAAAGCTGTTAATCATCTCTGATATTTGGAATTCCTAATATCTACAAAATGATTACCAGGTAACAGACAATGAAGGCTCTTGATGTGATTCTGAGTATCTGTACTCTGTGCAAATGTCAAAAAAACCATGTAATGGCAAATTAAAAAAAATAGGAAGTCAGTGAGTTCATACTTACAATAAAATCTTTTAAAAGAGAGAAGACTCTTTTTTACCAAAAAATGCCAATTTAAAAAAGTTGAGAGAAGAGTTGAAATATTACTATTTTGTAACCATTATAAATTATCAGGCAAAAATCATCAGAATATACTATATATAAGGGAATACGTTTCATGAGGAGCAGGATGTTGGCATGGTGGTGAAAGTATATCCCCACAGATTGCTTATTAGTTGTAAGGGGGAAAACTACATAGTGATGATACTCGACACCTTGATCAGATGATTAAAAATATCCTCACTGATTGTTGCCAGAGGAGAGAGGGGTTGGGGGACTGGGTGAGAAAGGTGAAGGGATTAATAAGTACAAACTGGTAGTTACAAAATACAGGAATGTAAGGTACAGCATAAGGAATATAGTCAATAATATTGTAATAACTATGTATGGTGCCAGGTGGGTACTGGAAATATGGGGGGGGACATTTTGTAAAGTATATGGTTATCTAATCACCATGCTGTACTCCTGAAACTAATACAAACTAATGTTGAATGTAAACTGTAATTGAAAAATAAAATTTAAAAAAATTACTATCCTCAATGAGGGGCAGGTAGCCATCATGTGCCTCTAGATGTGATCACAAACACTCAGTGCCACTTACTGTATTTTGTGTGGTAATGCATAATTTGAATCTAATGAGAAAAACTCTGACAAACCAAAATTGAGGAACATTATGTAAAATAATTGGCCTTGGTACTTCAAAAATATTAATATCATGAAAGACAAAAGCTTAAAAACTGCTCCAAATTAAAAAATAGGGAGACATATAACTCAATGCATTATGTGATCCTGGATTGGACAAATGATAACATGTGATAAGGACTGTAAATTAGAAAATGGTATTAAATCAATGTTAAATTTCCAGATTTTGATAATAGTACTGTTATGGACTGCATGTGTATGTCACCCCCACCCCCACCCCCAATTCATATGTTGAAATCCTAATCCCCAATGGGATTGTGTTTGGAGACTGGGCCTTTGGGAAGTAATTAGGTCATGAGAGTGCAGCCCTCCTTATGGGATTAAAGTTTTTATAAGAAAGACAGAAGAGAGCGTCCTTCTCTGCTGTCCACCAGGTGAAGACACAAGAAGACTGTTTGCAAACCAGGAAGAGTGCCCTCACCAAGAATTGATTCTGCTGGCACCTTGATCTTGGACTTCCCTGCCTCCAGATGGTCAGAAATGAATTGTTTAAGCCACCAAGTCTATGGTAAATTGCTATAGCAGACTAAGCAGACTAAACAAGTACTGTGGTTATGTCAAAGAAAATCCTGATTCTTGGGAAATACACATCAAATATTAAGGAGGCATAATACATGCACATTACTCTCCAATGATTCAGAAAAAATATGTGTACATATATCTCTGTGTATGGATTAGATATAGAGAATAGGATAAAACATGTTATTGCAATTTTTCTATAAGTGTGAAATTCTATAGAGATGTCTTCTGCTTAAGATTTTTCACTCTTCAGCTCATTCGGAGAAACAAATATGTTATGCCTGCCTTAAATTCCTTCACAGCCACTCTTTAGTAAATAGATTTTCACAACTATTCTGACACATAGATTATCATAAAAGAGGTTAGATAAATTTTAAAACTTACGACCTTGCAGCAGTATTGTTATAATTATATCTACACTTAACATTATGCAACACACTAATTCCTTTAATACATACAAACCAGTTCTAATACTTTTGTTTGTCCGTGGTGTTTTCAAAACCCTTGTAACCCACTACAAGGTGAACCATCAGAATTCTTGTTCAGTAGCCTTACATGTATGAATAGAATTACTATAATGCAAATATAGTGAATGATGATCCTCCAAATATTTCTAGAAAGGTGGTAGGAAATTTTGCAAATTACTCAAAATGTGTAATAATAGCACCAAAAACTGCTGTTTTCAGTTTACTCATAAGGGCAAATACATTGCTCGAAGGAAGAATGTCCATATTCTAAAGAAGTAATCAATACAGCACACTCAAGTGAGAAAAGTGGCTTGTATTTACAAACCAACCACAGAAGTAAACCACCTTCTTTTTGTCCTGTGCTCCAACAGGTTTATTTTCCTTATGCAAAACACTTGTACAGGATTCCGGGACTGAAAAGAACAAAGAAATTGCACTACAGACCTCTGGGCTAGTCTTTTATACTCTTACAGAACCAAATGATCTTTGTTCTGATCCTGTAACTCCCAGAAAATGCTGATGACAATGGATTCCATAAAAGCCATCTTCTTCCCAGAATATTCTTGTTTTGGAATAAATGCCTATAAATCTATTTATTACTTTATCAGAAATGTTAAAGAGATCATTTCAGTTGCCAGGTTTTAAAACCAGAGCATTTAATCCAAACCAAGTATGGTTCTTAATATTAGAATTGCACTGGAAGTACTTGTGCTTTTACTGAAATATAATAATATTTGGTGGTGTATATACATGAACTCTTTTGCCCAAGTTGAATGATCCTTAAATAAGTTACAGACTTATGCTAGCTATACTCCCCCCCCCCCTTTTTTTTGAGATTTATGAATTTTGGATAATGATTTTAAAGAGGGTTTGAGCCCTATTGATGCATTTAATTTACCTCTTGGTAGCATTCCTTTAGCAAGAACCAGGTCTCCAGAATTTTAAACGCTGCTGTGCTGCCAATGTTCAGACAGATGGTTCTACAAGTAATCATTTAACAAGAACAGCAAGAAAGTTCATAGAAAACTGATGAAAACAAGACTGAAGTTGAAGCCATTACTTCTTTGTTACATAATGAGTTGAAGGGTGAATATCAACGTATTGCCACTGATGTAGATCTGGAAATCTATTATGTTGTTGCTTAGGACAAATCTAAGAGAATTAAATTAGAGTGGTTATCAAACCCAATGATGGGCTCTCTTCAAGATCTTTACTCACAAAGCAAAATAATGGATCTGTATCCCAAGTAAAACAAAAAACATTTCCTTAGTCACACAAAGAAAATTTCCCCACAGTTAAGTCTCCTGCTTCTTCCAAGTCTAATCAGTCCCCTACTTCACAGACTGGCCTTAAAATCATCCAGCCCAATCTCATCTAAATTTCCTAGGATTGAGAGACTCCCGATTTGCCTATGGTTTGTTCTCCTTTGTTACACCAATCTAAATAAACCTGGCTTTGTGGGAACTACAGGCATGTCTGATAAATCTGTTAGTGTGTTTCAAATGATTTTCTTATAAACTCATAGTCCAGCTACCCAGAGAAAAGTATTAATATATAAATAGGCTTCCTATTTCAGGCATGGTTTGCTTGGTGGTTTGACATGGTTGTGATAATATTACAGTGGTACCTTGGTTTTCGAATGTCTCCGCTGATGAACATTTCAGTTTACGAATGCTGTAAACCAGGATGTGTGTGCTTTGGTTTTCCAACACGCCTCGGAAGTCGAACATGTCACATGGTTTCCACTGAGGGCAAGATCCTGAGGCCTAGCTGTCGGCTGTGGATCCTTCGGTTTTCGAATGTTTCAGAACTCGAACAGTGTTCTGGAACAGATTACATCAGAAAACCAAGGTACCACTGTATATATATCTTGCATTTTTGAGAAATGTGCTTTTAGAAAGTTTTCCGAAATATTTTCAATGATGGTAGAAACACTATAGTGTTATGTTGGTAGAATGCATGCCAAAATTGAACCATTCCATTCCCCAATCAGACATTTAGATGTTTTATAATCTTTGCTATTACAAACAAACTTGTGATAAATATTTTGCATAAAACCTTTCCTACAGATTAAATTACGTCCTCAGAATAAATCCTTGCAACAACTGAATGGAATGATTATGAGTATTTTGGCGCTCTAGCCACATAAGGTTTGTTTTCCAAGAGTTTTACCACTGAACTCCTCCTACCTGCAACCAGTTAAAGTCAATGTTCCACTGACTTCACCAGCACTTTAGGAGAAACTTAAATACAAGTTTTACCTAGACATTTAAAAGTTTTCGATATTTACATACAGCTTTTGAGGAACACAAAAGGCAGGTTTCTCATTCTCAATTTGGCTCTAAATTTTTCAAACTGACTAGGTAGAAAAGCAACTGAAACCATAAAGCATTTAAGAGGAAATGCAGAAAACAGCAAATATTAAGCAGTAATTACTACAAGCATAGGGAAGTTTGGTCAGATGGTAGGTTTGTATATATACAGGCAGAAACAGGAATCTAAGACTTAAAAGAATTTTCCAACCTGAGTTCTTTTCAAAACCTTTGACAACTGTGTGTATAAAAGGCCTTCTTTGGTAAGGCATTATGTGAGAAAAAACTAAAAACACAGTTGACTACGAGTGAACTATTTTATAGACTGCTTTTTGAGTGTGAACATTGTAAAAAGGTCAACTATTTTATTTTACCAAGGTAAATAATCGAGAGCATCTCTTAAAAGTGTATTTTTCTACCGTGGGTCTAGGGTTTGGTGATCCAGTTAGCTAGGCCTGGGCTTCCTGGCTTGTTGGGCCCGGGGCTCTCTAGCTTTGCCAGTTTTCTTCAAGCTAACCTGGGGGCTGGAGCTCCAGTCCTCAATTTTCTTCCCAGGTTGTCTTACATGCAGAAGCTGGGGAGGAGCTGAGGGACGCAGACCACATCAGCTTTCTGATCTTAGACTTCAAGCACAGCTCCCCATTCCCAGTCCTCCGCAAAAAAGCAAAAACTGAGAAATCAGTACCCATCACCCCCTTTAAAGCGAGCTCCACTTCCACAACCAGACAAAATCCGACTCGAAACCTTCCTCAGCCCCCTGTTCAGCAGAACCCAGCCCACCCACCGCCCCGTGCCACTGCTGTGACGTCACCGGGGCGAAACGCAGGCGCTGTGCCTTGGGGTCCTTTTTCTCTTCCACCGAAGCTCGGGCGTCCCCGGGTGCGAGTAGAACTACAGTTCCCAGCGTCCTTCGCGGCGCGGAGCAGGAAAGCCGGGACTGTGGGAGCCAGGCTCCGGAGGATAGCGGGCCAGAGCCGGCCGCTCCTCCTTCTCAAGCGGTTTTGCACCTCTTTCCGCCGGCGGCGTTGGCGGCGTCGGCGGCGTCGGCGCTCACGCAGGGGCGGGTCACGGCGGCGCAAAGCGGAGCTGGGCGGGAAGGGAGGTCGTGGCGGTGGCGGTGGCGGTGGCGGCTGCGAGGACGGCAGCGGCGGCCGCAGGGACAGCAGGA